CTTTTAATTGAAATAATATCAACTGTGGGTCCTGATGGCAATTTGTAGAGTATGTATTTTATTTGTTTTATCTTTTTAACTGCATTTTAATTGTTGTAAACCGCCCAGAGACCTTTGGGTAGTTTGGGCGGCATATAAGGTAAATAAATAAATAAATTGTTGACAGGAAAAACATTGCAACATTTCTCTGGCTCTCAAAACAGTAAATAAAATGAAAGCTGAACCATATCAGTCCCTTCCCAATTGGGACAGGACTAAATACTCCCCTTCCTCACTAAAGCCTCCAGGTGATGTTTCTTTGCTGTTTTTTTGCACTTCACAGACCAGCCTGATGTACAAAGTGTCTGAGCATTCCCTGTTCCTTTTCAGTCCTCCACATAAAAGTTTGGGAACTAACCAAAATGTAACAATGATGAACTGAATTGATACGATACTGCAGGGATGGTCACTTCCCAAACACACCTAAGGTTAGGAGGCATCTTTTTCCAGATTAAACCTAGTGAAGCTTCCATGTCAAATTTACCCAGACAGCAACTGAAAGATCACAGAAAACACTAATCCCTGTCAATAAAGCAAGATTTCCACGTAAATTTCAAATGTTTAATCTGAAGTTTATGTCCCGATTCCCCCAATCAACTAGATCAGATTAGGCATCTGCAGATTACATATAGTTTTCATTCCAAATGTCACTCACAGCCTATGGATCATATTAAAAAAATACATATAGCATATACATTTTCACATTCCATTTCCTAAGGAGAGATTCCTTTGGTACAACTTGGAAAGTTCATGTGGTAGATTGGTCTTGTTTCCAGTCATTATGCCACTAGTTAATTTTCAAAACAGTATGAGTTTAGGAATGAAAGTTTTCCACACACAAAAACCCAGCCAGCAGCTGTTTTCCATTAAAAAGGTAATGTAGGAATTCATTATGTTAAGTTTGGGAGATGAGAAAAAGGATGCAACTGGGGGCTTCTCACTAAAGCTACAACTTTCCTCTCCAAAGCTAAATAAAGGACTTGCTTTTCAGGTGGATGGGGGTGGAGAAAAAGAAGAGGGGTGCCAAACAAAACAGAGTGTCTCCCTTCTCTAGACTTTAAAGGCCAGAAAATGGGCTAATGCAGTGCTATGGCATCTCTGCAACACCTTCACAGATATTTGCAAAAACAGTTTTTCAAAAGGCAAGCAGGATAAGGGGGTTGGGGTTGGGAAAGATGCCTGCGTAGTGCATATGTTGCATGCACACGCACAGCCATTTTCCACCTACAAAGCCCCGATGCCCGCAGGAGTATATCTTCCCCTAGAGGCGGAGGGCCGGTTACCTGGCTGTGAAATCTGCTAAGATTTTCTCCAACCTAGACAAAACGCAAGTGTGAACAGCCTGTTCTTTTTTTCCCTCCACCAACATTACAGGGCCGGAAAAAGCAGCAATGCTAAAGCAATCTCTTTGCAGCCAAACCATATGCTACCTCTCCCTGGGAGGGTTTGGGGAGGAGGGGAGAGTAGCTGAACCTTTGGTCCTTCTTCTCCGCCCGCGTTTCTGCCCAGCCTTCACCCCCTGCGACCTAGTTATTTCGGTGTTGTCGTTTTAACGAAACCTGCTCCATCGACGCGTCTTGCGTTTTCTCGTCCGAGGGAAAGAAAGACGGCTCTTTTTCCTTACCCACGCCCCCCCTTAAAAAAAAAAGGCGAGCTCACTCGCTCTCTCCTGCCTTCCCTCCCTCCCTCCGCTTAACGACGGTCACCCAGCCGCCCTCAGTCGCCCGCCCGCCGCCTCGTTCTTTCCCTGGCGCTCGGGACGAAAGAAAAGGACGAGGCCGGTAAGGGAGGGAGGAAGAGAGGAGAAGAAAGAAGGAGGGGGGACTGGAATTCGAGATGCTGAGGCTCCTTTCTCCGCCATCGGCCGCACCACTCCAGACAGAGCGACAGACACACGAGGGAAAAACAAGAGCCCGAGGCAGCTACGAAATGGTGCTGCCCGCTCGGTCTTGGGGGGGTGGGGTGGGGGTGGCTTAAAACGGTTGGTGAGGGAACCCCGACCCCCACCGAATGCAGCTTTTCCGCTCCCTCCTCTCCCTCCCCCAACACACACACACACACACACACACACGGAAAGCCACCCTCGGCTCGGCCGTACCTTTGGCGAGCGCGACGGTGGAGTTGTCGGTGTCGATGGTGTAAAGGATGCCCTCGTATCGGATCTGCGCCTTGGAGATGAGGCTGATCTTGCTCCCGATGTACGGCGTGCCCGAGCTCATGGCGCCGTCGAGGAAGGGGGGGGCTGTCTGGAGAAGGAGGTGGTGGTGGAGGAGAAGCAGGGCCCGTCAGGCGGCCCTGAGGGAACAGCGGCCCGGGTCGACCCGAGTTTGAATTGAGACCCCCCTCCCTCACAAAACACCCACACCCGGTCCGCCTGAGGGACGACGACGACGACCGAGGACGCCTCAGCCGCTCGGAGAAAAGGCCCAGAGACCAGAATTCAGTTAGTCGTCGTCGTCGTCGCTTCAATCCACCGCCGGCTTCCCTTCCAAGGCGCCTCCAGCCCCTCGTCGCGGCTGCGGACTGAGAAAGGAAACCCCCGCCAGGCGGACCTTTTATAGGCCCAAGGCAGACGGCGGAGGGAGGGGGGAAATGGGGAGGAGGGGTTTAAAAAAAAGAGAGAGAGACGGCGGCACAGAAACAGAGAGAGAGAGAGAGAGAGAGAGAGAGAGAGAGGGAAAAAGGAAAAAAAGAAGGCGGGGCTGAAAGAAGGCGGCCGGGGCGGAGCCACGCAGGCGCAGTGTGAGCCCCCGCGCGCCAGACGGCTTCGTGAGGCGGCAGAGGGGCGAGGGGCGGGGAAAGGAGGAGGAGGAGAAGAAGGTCAGGTTAAGGGAAGGTGAGGGAGGGGAGAAACTCCAGGCAGGCAAGGAGGCGGAGACGGGTGTGGCCGCGTCGGAGGGAGGAGGGGGGGGAAAGGAGGGCGTCACGTGACCGGCCTGGCGCGCGCGCGGCCCGTCGCCTCAGCTGAGGCCGGTGGAAAAAAATTAAGAGAAACGCCTGTCTTTTTCGGCGACGGAGGGCGGTCGGTTTCAATGGCAGCCCTCGGGTTTAAACGACAACAACAACAACAACAAAACCCCCCAAAAACAAAACCACGTTTGGAATTAAAGCACTCGCGTCATGGCCCGTTGCTGACGACGCCCGAGGAGATTTTCTTTGTCAGCTGCTGTCGCGGGTCAGGTGCGGCTCCTGCCGCCTCCGCCCTCGTTGAAACGGGTCGGGATGCCGTCCTCTCGAATTTCCAGCGAAAATGCCTCCCTCCCAGCCCTCGCTTTGTTTACACTTGGTTTTTACATCGTCATTGGCTTATTAGCGTTTAGCTTTTAGGGAAGAGAGGGTTCCGGGAGTGGTTCTAATCCCATTAAATCCTTGGAATATTGGGCATTTCTTTAAAAAAAAACAACAACACCCTGAAGGGTTTCCTTTGGTGCCCTCCGGCTGTGCGACTTCTTAGGAAATTATACAGATTTAGTATACTCAACTAAAGATGGGCGTGAGGAAGTCAGTCTGTTTTGGACACCTGCTTGTACAGGTTCAGTATAGCACTGGAAAAACCCAGAGTTGTTTTTAGAGCGCTGTCCTCTGAAGATGCCGGCCACAGAGATTTGCGAAACATCAGGGAGAACAACCTTCAGAACACGGCCAAAGAGCCCGAAAAACCCACAACAACCATTAGATCCCAGCCGTGAAAGCCTTCGGGAATACATTGTTTTTAGAGCTATTCAGACATACAGCCAAAGATCTTTCTTGTCAGACGCTTTCCCTTAGTGACTGACTGTTTTTTAAAATGGATTGTGGTACTCTGTTGATTTTAAAAGTGTTCTTAGTATTGATTTCATTTACTGTTTTTTAT